ATATAAACTCCGTGATATCACTAAAAATATTAAAAAACAAGATCGTCTACATCATACTGGTGAGCACGATAATTATATTTAAAAGGAACAAGATAAAATTTACGATACATGGAGAATCTATTTTCCTAACTTTACGTAATTAGTAAAAAGAATCAATTTAAACCAAGTAGAAGCCTCCACGCAATCTTCTAACTAAATAAATTTTCATCCCATCTTTGATTTCATACTCCGACAAGAGTTTATCGTTTTCTAATTGATGATTATTAATTATCAACGTCTGCTCTTCTACTGGAATCAAACTCTTTTCAAAATATTTTTTTTTCAGTTCGAGTACTGTATCGGATTTTTTGAGAATGATAGTCGTAGATTTTCCAGCTTGTGCTGTTAAAGCGCTAACAATGTACACTTGCATAAAACCTTCAGCCTTTCGTACTATCCTAACTTTTTCGTCCGTAAAAATTTTGTAATAATTTACTGTACGAATATCTTCAAGCTTCTTTTCTCCAAGAAATAGTTCTTGGTCATCGGTGTTTATGTTGAATTTCGATTCGATTTTTTGTTTTAATTGATGAATGGTATCATCAGAACAAATTTCAAGTTGCAATGTAATATCTCCAAAAAGTATAGGAGAAATCATGAATTTTACCATTTCTTTGTTTTTCAAAACGAAAGTATGTATTTGTAAAGTAAATTAATTAAAAAAGAAATTATTTTATTTTATAAAGATTTTATCATTTTATCATGATTGTGAGCATAATGAAGTCAATAAAACTTCTTATTCCGAAATTGGACTAAGGATTAAAAAAATTCTTTTACCTCTAATTCATCACCAAGAAATATACGTATGGAATGTATAATTATTAAACGAGCAAAAATTAATTCACTTGGAAATTAGAGATTCTTGCTGTCATGGGTTTTTTTGTGTTTGGTTTTTATGACGTCTTTTTCGTTTTGTCTCTCAATTTGGAATCCCTTTTTGACTAGTATATAAACAACCATTGCAAATGAGGAATAAATCAACTTTTTTTTTTGTCAGATAGCATTTGCCAATTCAATGATTCAACTTTTTCGCCCTCTTTATCGGATATTAAATATTTCTAACTTGTATGATTGTAAAATTTGTTACGAAGATGAAGGTAGAAAATTTTGTAAAATAACTACAAATTGTGTTCATAAACCCGTTGTTTGTACAGAATGTGTTAGGAAACATATTGAAACATGCATTGAAAAGCAACTTGTTGAAGTTCCTTGTCCAACGGACGGATGTACAAAAATAATGGAAAGACATGATATCAAAATTTTCACAACAAATAAAAACTTTGAAATGTGTAATATCCATTTTTTTTTTTCCTCTTTATTAAAAAGAGTTTTTTATAAGGAAGGATACCTAATAAATAATTCGTAAATATTTATAGATATGATTCACTTGCTTTCACACTTGCGATTCATAAAATTCCAGAATTTAGGTGGTGCAAAGCCCTTTGCGGAACTGGACAAATTCATCTTGGAAAAGGTAATATTAAAAGTGACATTATAACATTATGTATTTCGAATTTACTTTTAACAAACCTTCGTTAATTATATATATATATTTATTTATTTATAGATGAAGCACCAATTGTTATCTGTCATACGTGTAACGCAAAATCATGTTATACTCATGAAGTTATCTGGCACGAGGGTCAGACTTGCGAAGAATATGAACAGAATAAGAAACAATTCGACTTTGCTACCGAAGATTATCTTTCACGAACATCAAAACAATGTCCTAGTTGTTCGATGTATATCGATAAAACTGGAGGTTGTGATCACATAACGTGTAAATGTTCATATGAGTTTTGTTGGTTGTAAGTATTAACTATATTTTTTTCTTATTAACTAGTTGATTTGATAAATAATTAACGAAAAAATTATTTATTAGATGTATGCATGAATACCCAGACCATAAATCTACCTGTGATTTAAATACAAGAGCTTTTTTGTTTAACTGATCTTTAAAAAATAGGAACCAAGTTTCATTTATAGTCATCACGTGTTATTGCCTAGCATTCATTAAGAATTTATTATGATTTGGGCTACTTAAAAATTACCCTTTAGCAAATCAAAAATGATGTTTATTAATGCTATTAAGAATTATACAATGCTGTTGTTTTAATAATATATTCGGGTAAAAGATTTTTTTAACAAATGCTTTAAAGAAATGCAATTTTAAAATAACATATTTAGTATAGATTAGTTTATGATATCTGCTGTGATTTATTATATGATTTTAACTGGGTTGAAATTTTGTATAAGTTGACATTATACTTAATTGTATTTATATTATTATACAGTACATAACATGTTAATTGTACTAATTATACTAATTATAATATTTCTAGACTTCCTAACTCTAATAGTTTATTCTACAAATTTTGAAGCCCGACCCAGATAATTAATTTATGCTATTTAGCGATGCGAAATTTTAATAATTTAATAATAATTTACTTTATAAATACCAATAGTAAATATTATTATTTATTGAAGTGCATTATACTATCTATTGTTGTTTGCTCGCGCGTCAATAATTTCAATAATTTCATTAAATTACAACCTTTACTGCTTTTTTTTTTTTCTTGACATTTTTAATTAGAATAAATTTTGACATTTTATTTCCTTTTGTTTTAAAAAAAAAAAATAATAGTAATAATAAATATTTCAATAATGTAACGCAACATTTATTTGCATATTTCATTTATAAGATACTCTCAGCGCGGCTAAATTTTTAACGAAATTATAATTTTTTCAAGAATTATAAATAAAATACTTTGAACCCTAACCCGTCCCGGAATATTCTAAACTTATAATTTGCCGATCTGAACCTGCCCGGCCCGTTGCAGACCAGTTTTTTTTTTTTTTTTTTTTTATAAATTATATATTTCTGTATAATTAAATATAATTTTTGTATTAATGAACCAATAAAATTAAATTTAGACTAATATTTAATCATATGGGCCGATTTGGCTCACTTCGGTAATGTCACCTGCAAGGAATGATCGACCGTCGATCATTACTAGTTTTACT